AGCTGGCTGGCTCGTTTTGGGTGGGGACTCAAGAGAGTTAGGCGAATTTCCCCACCTGGGGGCATGCCCTTAGGTGTGCTCTCAGATAATCAGCCCCAGTAAACACACAGATAAGATCCTATAGGCCTTTATTCTGCCAGGTTAGTTCTACAACAGCTCTGTTGATAGTTCCAGGTGATGGCTGGATCCAAGGTGGTGCCCTGAGGTCACAGGGCTGTGGTGGCAGCTGAGGTGCATGGACGCAAGGGACTAGGGGGCTAAGGAGCGCAGGGCTTGGACCCTACCACCAAGAGGTGGGAGCGGGGCTTGGGCGCTGCTGGTCGGGGGTCACACAGGTGCGGGCTGCAGGGGGGTCACACAGTGGCAGGTAGTCTTCGCTCCTCTGGAGTTCCGCGGTGGATGGCTGACTATTGCTCTTCCTGGGTCTCTTCCCGGCCCATCTGGCCGCGGAACTCCGTCTCTGGCGGCGGAACTCCGTCTCTGGCGGCGATACTCCGTCTCTAATCATTGTTCTTTTGAATTTTGTGTCAGAAAGTTCCATCAGACTTTCTTGCTTCAGGAAATAATTTGCTATTCTGTCATATTTTGGGGGTGATATTTTGCTTTGGGCTTGTGGGGAGTGAGGTAATCTGCTTTCTTTGGGACATTATTGTGGCAGAGATTTTCGTGCCTTGGGCAATATAGCCTATTTGTGATCTGACTGCTCCAGAAGGTTGGGCAGGCACACGGGTGGACACACGTAGAGTGGGTGCATGCACAGATGCACACATGGGAGGCGGCAGGGAGATGTGCACATGGATGCACACAGGAGGGGGTTGTGGGAGAGACCTGAAAATGGAAAACCAAGAAGCCTTGGTTTTCCCCTTGAGAACTGGGTCTGCCACCTCAGTCGAGCTCCAGCTGTCTCCTTTCTGCTTAAGGGGATGGGACCCCACAATTGGTCCAGCAATAATTCGTGATCCCCCTAAGTATCTCACTCAATTTCCCAATGTCCTGCTTGCTCCTGGTGGCTGAGTTCCACTGTGGCTCCCTGCTGTGGCTTGGTGCTCCCCACCGTGGCTTGCTGTATCCCATCGAGGCTCACTGTACCCTACTGATGCTTACAGCTCCCCTGGCTCTCAAGTGTCCACATTGATCCACAGTAACGTCTTGTGAAGCACCTATATATTTGTGCTTCCTTTTTGTAGGCCTCAGGCCTGATAGCGGTTTGTTCCCCATACTAACTGTGTAACCAAGGAGGAAACCTGTTGTTCCCTTCTGGAAGTGGCTTCTTAGCTCTGTCGAGGGACCCAGAACCTCCCTGTTGCCTGAGTTAAGGGGTCCTAAATGGTCAAGCCAGATAGAAGTTTGTTCACCAAAGTACCTGAGCAAACAAGGAGGAAGCCTGTTGTTCCCTTCTGGAACTTACTTCTCACCTTCATCGAGGGGCCCAGGACCTCCCTGTTGCTTGAGTTAAGTGGTCCCATGTGGTCAAGCCAGACAGCAATTTGTTCCTTACAGTACCTGCTTGCTCCTGGTGGGTAGGTCCCACAGCGTCTAGGCTGGTAGCTTCTGGTCATGCATGATTCAGCTGCCAGCTTCCGCCGGGGCCAGTGGCTCGCTGCTCCTGTGGCTCCCAAACTAATTATTTTAATAAAAGTTCTGACTCAAATTCCTACTGTCTGTGTCACAACATGTTGGTTTCTGCACTCCATGTAGCTTGCAGCTCCTCCAGCTCCTTATGCTGTTTTCTCTGCTGCTGCTGTCTTGGCATTTACATTTTTCTTGATGAGGTAGTGGCATATTCTATAAATTTTAGATAAGAGTCCTTTATCAGATGTGTCATTGCCAAGTAATTTGTTTCCCCAGTCATTGGGTTTCCTTTTTATCCTGTTTGAGAAGTTTTCTGATATGCATAGGAATTTGACTCTCAGATGTTCCCATTCATCTATTTTATTCTCTCCTGGTTTTAGGTTTTCCATTATGGTTGGAAGTCTGTTCATGTTGTCGTCTAGGGCTTCTAGAGTTGTTCCTAGCTTTTCTCGGATAAATATTATAGTCTTTGGTTTTACTCCTAGGTCCCTTGAGAGTGTGTGTGTGTGTGTGTGTGTGTGTGTGTGTGTGTGTGTATGGTGTGAGATGTGGGTCTTGTTTAATTTTTCTGCAGATGATTTTCTGATTTTACTAACACCATTTGTTAAAGAGGTGGTTGTTTCCTTACTTAACTGATTTCATCTTGTAAAAAATCAGTTGACCAGAGGTGGATAAGTTGATTTCTGGGTTCTCAATTCTATTCCATTGGTCTATGTATCTGTCACTTTACACTGGTGCTGTCTTGACTATCACAGCTCTGTAGTAGGATTTGAGATCAGGAAGTGTGATGCCTCCAACTTTGTTTCCTGTTTTCATTAGTGTTTGCATTTTTTGATCTCTTTCCATTCCAGACAGATTGCCTTTTCCATATCGTTGAAGTATGGAATTGGTATCTGTACTGGAATTTTATTGAACTTGTAGATTGCTTTAGGTAGAATTTTCATTTTCACCATATTGTTTTCCTATTCATGAGCATGGTGCATTCCTCCTTTAGTCTAGTCACTACTAAGCCAATTCTTACCATTAGGCCAATAGGCAGTATCATGATGGATGGAGAGAAGGTTGACATGGTTAATGATTTCTTCTTGCTAGAATACCCAATCAGTAACTTTTCAACAGCAGTTAAGAAATCAAAAAACATGTATCATTGGAAAAGTCTGTCTGTGGTCAGGTATTCTTCAAGGTGCTAAAAAGCAGCAGCATCAGTTTGAGGACTATTGAGCTCCTGATCCAACCCATGGTCTTTTTAGTTGCTTCCTATGAATCAGAGAGCTTGACATTGACTAATGATGACAGTAGAAGAATTGATGCCTTTGAGTTATGGTGTTGGAAGAGAGTGCTCAGTATCTCAGGGACTGCCAAAAAGACAAATATGTCTTAGATAAGGTACAACCAGGTTGCTCCTTAGTGGGAGGGATGATAAAACTCCATTTCACCTACTTTGTGTATGTGGTTAGAAGAAACCAGTTCTTAAAGAAGGATATTATGCTTGGAAAGGTAGAAGGTTAGTGAAAAAGAGGAAAGTGCTCACCAATTTGGACTGATCCAGCTGCTAGAACAATGGGCTCAACTAAGTCAGGGACCGTGAGGATGCCACAGGATAAGGTATTGTAGAGCTCTGCTGTTCATAGGGTCACTGAGTTGTGGCTGACTCATTAGTACCTTAACAGCTACAACACCACCACCACAATAATGACCCCTGTAGCAGACTACCACACATGATGATTTAGAACACCACAACTTTATTCTCTACCAGTTCTTTGTTTTTTAAATTGGTTTGCTTACAACATTTATATACATTGTGTTTCACATTGTTCTTCATTCACTTTGGGTTTCACACAATCATTTTCATGCATTATGTTTTATAAAATTGATCACCATTAGACCTTGCCCATCATTATCCTGTCTTTTTGCCCGGATCCTTCCCATTTGCTTCACCCCCCTCTTTCCACCCACCAAACTGTGCAGCCCTGTGGTTTCACCCCATCTATCCTCACCCCTTTGCTTCCCTCTTGCTCCCCTTGAGTTCCTGTACATGTTTCACTAGTTATCCTTCTATTTCTACAATAAGTCTACCAGTTATTTTAGAAGACATGTCTAAAATATGTTTCACTGGGCTACAACCAAGGTATTCTCAGGGCCACATTCCCTTCAGAGACTCTAGGAGAGACCTCACTTCCTTGCCTTCTCTATCTCTAGAGCTACATTTCTTGCATTTTTTTGCCTTATGACTTGTTCCTCCACCATTAAAATCCACAATATAATAGCTTCATTGCCTTCTGTCATGTCTCTTTGCCTTCCTTCTTATGAAAGTATTTGTAATCTCATTTAGGTACCACCTAGATTACCTTGGATAATATCTTCATCTAAAAATCCTTAAATTCATCTTTAAATTTCTTAAATTCTTAAATTTAAATTTTTAAATAATCAAATTCATCATCTAAAGATCCTTAAGCATCTGTAGACTTTGTTATAAGATAGTAGTGCAGATTCTGGGGATTAGAATATGGATGGGTATCCTTGGAGGTCATTATTTACCCTCTCACAAATGCCATGATCAATCTCATTTTAATCTGTAAAATTTTAAGTAAACTTCTTTCTGGAAATTATATTTTTTTGAAAACCTAGGTTGTTAACAAACCAGTAAGAATAGTATTCTATCATGCATAGGAGAATTTTAGGAACTAGTGGAATAGGGAGCTCTGAAGGCTTAGTGGTAAGGAGTCATGCTATTAACCCATGGTTTGAATCTACCAGCTACTCTATATGGGATAAATATGGGTAATCTTCTTCCATGCTATTTATTGCCTCTGAAAACCCAGTGGAGGATTAGCTATGAATTGGTCCCCACTTGACAGTACATAACAACAATAACAGTAGGTAAGTAGTTATGGTGCCAACTCAGAGGCAGGCCGTTTGAACCCATCAGCTGCTCCATGTGAGAAAGATGGGCAATCTCCTTCTGTATCATTTATATACAGCCTCTGAAAACCCATTTGATGGTGAGCTGTGAGTCAATTTTGACTCAAAGGCACAAAACAAGTGCAACTTGTCATAAAAGAAAGCTCTAATGGCCTATTTCACATGAAGTTATGATGTTAAAACAAAGACAACACATCTGGCAGCTTGAATACAACAACAGAGAAAGATGAACAATCTTCTCCCATGAGATTTACAGCCTACAAAACTCAATGGAGGGTCATCTATGAGTCAGTTCTGACTTAATGGCAGTGAGAGTTTTTGTTTCATGGCACAAAAATATATTTAAAGTAATTTGTAGTGCTTAAGTTTAAGTTTAATTTTACTTTAAGTATTATTTTAAATTTTTTCAAGGACATCAATCATGTTCTTCAAATGTCCCCAGAATTTACCAGATGAGAAGTGTGAAACTTTTTTTTAAAAGTACTATTTTTTATTTCTCTTTCCAGGTGAGAAAAATGACAGCCATGCCTACAAATTTGATTTGTGCATCTGTAAGTATACGTGCAGCCAAAGAAGAGGAGTATAAAAAGCAACTAGTAAAACCAGAGCAGGTAATTTGCCTAGTTCAAGTTTGTTAATTTCATATAAAGATGATACAAAAGCCTATGAGTCTGTTTAAGGTGGCAAAAATGATAAATGCATGGAAACTATCCAACAGGTTCAAATCCATACAGTAGGACTTTGGGAGTCAGTTTAGTTTGGCCGTCTCTCTGAAACGTCACAGCCTTAAAATCTCTGTTTTACTCTGCACACATGGGATTATGATGAGTTGTAATTGATAATAACTAACAACAGTAACCTTGAATCTGTCGTACCTGAATTGAAAACCATCTCAGGAATATATTTGGTGCATTAGACATTTATGATCAATTACCACACAGATTGTGGGATGATATCAGGGTTGTGTTCTGTAAAGAAAGCTAAAAGTCATTACAAAGACAAGGGAGAACGTCAAGATTGTTAGAAGAGACTCTGAGGGCTCACGTCTCCTCCTGTTGAGACTGTGAAGTGGTAACAGACAGAGAGTTTGGGTTATTGAGAACTAAGAAACCAAAGCACACCAAACAGGGACACTATCCACTAGAGACTGAGATTTCTGAATAGGAATTAGAGCTTTTCAAGAAAAGAGAACAACAGGACATCTAAGGTGCTGGGAATATCCCAAGAAGAAAAGACAATGGTGGATGCTCAGGAATTGCTGACATTCAGTGTTGTGGCTGTGAAGTTCACTTGCAAGAATGGAGCTTCTGAAACCTGCTCAGAAGCCCCTGTACCAGGATGTGATGTTGGAGAACCATAGAAACCTTGTGTCCATTGAAGTCCAGAAAGCTGATGATCATATCCTTTGGTTCTTGTTTAATGAAAGATTACACAGACTGGAACATAGTAACCTTAATTCATTGAAAATTATTTATCATCAACAAACACTTCATTTTCATTTTATGGAAAATCAAGATAAGTTTGAATTACCTGATAAAACTATGAAATAAAATTTAACTTTACCAACAGTCCATCAGAGAAGGAACAATCAAGTAAAGCACTCTGCTGAGCTTAATGGAGATGAGAAAACCTTACACCTCGATGACTGTGATCAATTTGGGACTGGAATGATTTTCCCTGAAAGTCAGAAATCCCATAGCATTATGGCCATACTCCACAGAAATAAGGCAGCTCACAAAGTAAATTCCATGTATGTAGTGACTGTGGGAAAGCCTTCACCACTAAGTCAAATCTCCCTGTCCATCATCGGACTCATACAGGGGAGAAACTCTTTGGGTGCAGTTGTTATGCCACAATCACGAGTCCCCCAAAGGATACCAGGGAGCCGAAACTGATGCAAGAACATGAGGGATTTTATTACGAGCTCGAGCAGGGATTTTACATACACCCCGAAGCAGCAGCAGTGTGGCAGAGCCCCGAGATCTTTGTGTTCAAGATTTTTATTGGCACTGGGAGGGGCCAGGGTTGGTTGGGGGCTGGGAGGTATAAGGGGATTGGGGAACTTGTGGGGAAAGGTGACGTTGACACAGAGCGAGTGGCTATTTTGAAAATGGGTGGGTTCACTAGCAATGGCGTGAATATTTGGACAGGAGGGCTTAGAGTCACTTCTTTGTTGCTGAGGTGGTCAAGGAAAACACAAAGACTTAAGATGGCGGCTAGACTGGAGGTATATAAAGTACATATAAAAAACTTTAACACAGTGAGTGTGGAAAATGGTTCATCACGAAGAGTCACCTCATTGTCCATCAGCGAACTCACACTGGGGGGAAACCATATGTTTGCAGGGAGTGTGGAAGAGGCTTCACCAATAAACGTCATCTCACAGACCATCAACAAACTCACACTGGAGAGAAATGCTATATGTGCTCCAAGTGTGGAAAAGGTTTCAGTCGGAAGGAAGAGTTTACCCTTTATCAGCGAACTCATACTGGAGAGAAACCTTGTATTCACAGTGAATTTGGTACAGACTTAAACCAAGAAGTCTTTCCACATCAAAAGAGGGAACACTTCCTTTACATGTACTACATGTGGAAAATCTTACACACAGCAGTCAATTCTTAATAGAAATAAGAAAATTCACGGGCTACAAACTCATTCAGTGCAGATTATGTTAGAAAACCTTCAAGATGAAGCAAGAGCTCACTTCTCTGAAGGATCTCATAATAGTGAAATGCCACATATCTGCCATAAATGTGGACAGAGAGTTGAAGATGTTTCTCCCTTTCATTCACATCACAGAAAACCAAAAAAGAGAAAATTGTGTGGATTCTGCCCAGGAGGACAACCCTTCTATAGGAAGTCTCATCTCACCACATAGCAGTGCTGCCCCGCAGGAGAAAAGCCCTGTTAACAGTTAATTGGTTAATTGTGCAGATGTGTCCAGTCACAGCCCTGACCTTGAGAGGCCTCTGGAGGTAACAGAATTGATCCTGAAGAGAAACTGTGTGAATGAAGTGACCATGGTAGTGCCTTCAGTATTCAAGGTACAAGCTGGAAAATCCTGAAGACTTCATACTATGTAGTCAGTTCTCTTACCAAGGTATAAGATGATGTTAACAGAAACACCTGCCCATCTATGGTTTTGTTATATCAATAAAATTAATGAACCTCTGATTTAATAATGAGCCAAAATAATATGAATTTATAATTCATATGAATTAAAAGACTGAATATAAAAATTCATAGAAAAGAAATAGTATGAATATTTGAAACAGAAAAGATCATCCTTCAGTAGAGTACCAACCTAAGGCCTAAGACCACAGGATGCTATTCCTGTGAAGTACCACTGGTCCCCTTAGTTAAGAGTTACCCTTGGTATACCTTCCCATTTTTGGTCACTGACTTTCCTGTCCCCAAGCCTGTTGAAAAATTTGAAAGGTTATACTCCAGGTAAATAGCCCCAGTACAGTCAGGACAGCTCCAGAAATGTTCTTGCAGGTATCTCACCCTGAGTTATGGCTTTAGGCCAGTGTTACAGTTGTCAGTCCTGCCAATATTGGCTGTCCACCTCAGACTTAGCCACTGTTACCAAGTTCTCAACACCTCAACTTGTCCAACAAACTTGGGCAAAGGCTCTTAGCTCTGGCTCCAGTGGGATAGCAGTCCCAAGGTCCCATCTCACATCAGGTCTCTAGTGCAGCTATAGCTGCTGTTGCTGTGTCTCAAATGATTTTCTTTGCCTGGGGAAATTCTGATTGTGTGGCTAAAGTTATTAAATTTATTGGAGAGACTAGCAAATCCCCTCAAAGATTGTTGAAATGGGCCAGTCCTATTGTGGGTAGGCTCACACGCCCTTTTTGCATCTTCCTGCCCATCCACATAGTCTGATTCAGATAGGTAGGAGAGTCTTGTGGAAAGACAAAGTCCATGCACTGCTAAGACCTCTGAGTCTTGCCCTTGGGAATCTGGAATGACTTCTCTCTGAAATTTGCCTCTCACAGCTGAAGAACCTTGGTTATTTGGCTCTTCTTGGTTGTCCGTGTATTTTAGATAAGCGCCACTTTCCCCTCCCTCATCACGGAGAGCAGTTTGGTGAATGCGCCCTCCCGATGGTCTGTGGACAGGATAAATTGGGCATCCTGGACCCGTTCCTAAAGCTTGTATCTCTGTCTCTCAGAACACTGTTTTATTTCCCTAATTATTTTAGAAAATGGCTTTTCATATGGTTCTGAGCAATTTCTCATTTTCTGTCTGTACCTGTTGCTTTTCATAGTAAAAGTGAATAAATTTGGGGGTCTGAGGTGGGATGACAATAATCCACAATAAGAGGTGCATAGTAAAATGTACTGGAGGATGCGAAGGAAACTGTGCAACAATGAATGAATTTTTTAAAAGAGAAAAGTAAACTTGGGGTTGGTAGGGAGGAAAATGTGCAAAAATGAAAGACTGGAAATCCAAATTTTCTGTATACTTTTGTTAAAATCAACATAAAATATTATATAGTTTAAAAATGAAGATACTCTGAAACTTTTACTGGATAAAAAGAATCCAAAACAAAGGGAATGAATGCTGACATAAGAGGGGTCAACAGGTGATTTCAGAGGACAGCTCATGAGGGCAAAGCAAAGGACGGTAAAGAAATGTGCAAAGAGCTGGAGGTAGAAAATAAAAAAATGGAAGAACACTCTTGGCATTTCTCAAGCTGAAAGAACTGAAGAGCAAATTCAAGCCTTAAGTTGCAATACTGAAGGATGCTATGGACAAAATCTTGAATAATGCAGGAAGTGTCAAAACAGGATGGAAAGGACACACAGAGTCATTTTACCAAAAAGAATTGGTAAACACGGAATCACTTCTGGAAGTAGTATATAATCAAGAACCATGAATGAAATTTTCTTGTTCATAGCAGCATTTAAAAAAACAGAAATTTATGTTTGGTGGTAATTGCATTATTTTTTTTAAATGTAGCTTCCTTACAGACTTTTTTAAAATTTTAATAATTTTAATGAACATTTATAGAGATTTTGGATTTCCTTCATTGCTGCACTTCTCTCCACGCCCAG